TTGTACGCCGTCTAACTTCTTGACACAGTTGGGATATTTTGGAGTACATTATTTGGGCAATAACAATATTATTCATCATAATCTTTATTATGAAAAAAATTAATTTCGAAGAACTGTTAAACAGAAAAAGCCTTACCCTTCCTTAGCGAAGCTTGTCCAAATATCGGCTACTGCTTGGCTGAATATTTCTGTCTTTTTGCTGTAATCAGCTCTATGTTTAAGATAGCGTGCAAACACATAATCGATTTCTAGCCCATGGGTAACGCCCATCCATGACGGCAGATTCTTTACTGTCCATGGTTCAGCAAAGTGGTACATGAAGACCGAGCTGTTAGTATTGGCCATTTGATCTGCAAACTCTTTAATACTGCAAGTGAAAAAGTGTTCAGTTCCCGCCTTTATTATTGAATCTCTATAAAAGTATCTATCTGCGACTGTGGTATTTCTGCCTACAGGTTCTCTTCGGAAAACATGGCGCTGGAGCGACTGGCTAGCAGTATAAGATATGTCTTGAAACATCGCGGTTAAAACCTTCTCTGCCTGGGCATGATTTATTGCTGCCTGCGGATTATCGATCATGACATCTCGTAGTATAAGCGGTATAAGAAAGCTGCCATCGTCAGTGTTGTAGCCAATTAGAATGGAACAGTTTTTCATAGCACCGCCTGCTATGGCCATCAAGGCGTTTCCTTCGAAAAACTGACGATCCTCGTTCACTGGAACAAAGAATCGCGACTGGTACTGTTGTGAAAGTTCTGTCGCTGCGGTTATGATTGACATTGGTTGCACGGAACGCAAGCATCGCACAGACTCGGTTGTGTTTCCTGAGTTACAGTTGAGTTTCCGTAGAAGTTCTAGAGTTCCATTCCTCTCTTTCTCTGGACTGTTTTGGGTCCATGGAGCGTTCATGACCCCGCTCTGAACAATCGCCCGGTTGAAGTATGGCCAGCTCTTTTTAGCCACAAGATGAGCTGAAACAGAGGCAGCTCCCGCGCTGTTGCCAAACAGGGTGATTTTTGTTTCGTCGCCCCCAAACAAGCGAATGTTTTGATGAAGGAAACGCAAAGCTTGTCGCTGGTCTAGCAAACCAAGGTTGGAAGGCACCGCTTCGTCGCCGAAGTGGACGAATCCAAACGGACCTAATCTATAGTTGATATTTGCCACTATGACGTTACCACGAGCAGCAAGCTCTGCGCCATCGTAGGTTGGATCCGAAGGACTTCCGCTGAAAAACCCACCGCCAAATATCCACACCATCGTAGTGAGATTCTGTTTGCCTGCAGGCACCCATAAGTTCAGCCTTAAGCAGTCTTCGCTCATCGTTCCATCTTCAATCATCTTCTTTGCGATTTTCATGCCTGAAATTAACCAATTTCTCTCGAACTTCAAATCATTAAGAATAAGCCCCAAAAATAAAACTTTTGTACCATGTAAACCATGTATGAACGTAACTTAGATCATAAAAGTAATGTACAAATGGACCTGACCCAAGTAAATTCAACTTATGCAAATTATTCCGAAAAAGTTACGGAAAAAATTCCAAATTTCAAGATTGCTGCTTAACTAGGCTACATCAGTCGGACACCACTTAGCAGCAGTCTTATGTTAGGATGTGGGCAGAAATCCTGTTTTAATAGTACACGAAAGTTTTGGAAATCTTGTGATATTTATCAAGCAATGCAAAACATTTCATAAATATGGTAAGAGGTCAGACAGTATTTAGTTTCGAAAAACGTTTGTCTAAATTTGCTCATGGTTTCGGTTAGGTTGCGATCAACTTTTAAAAATTTGGCTGAAAAAGGAGGGAAAAGTGCTGTGTGAAGTATACAGATCATTTTCATCGAAGAACTGATTGACTAACATGGACAAGAATTATCAAACAAAGAAATGAATTGAAATTGGAAGCAGCAAAAGTGGCTGAGTCTGAGGCTTCAGAAATAGAAGACAACGGCAATGTTCATGTCGAAATTGATGACAATCGCGTTTGTGAGACTCCAACAGGAAAGTCACGGTTGGAGAAGACGCATCCGAATGCCTGACGGTTCCCGAAAGTTCAAGGAGAAATACACGACGCTTTAGCCTATCATAGAGTGATTTATGGATTGAAGAGGGATGAAAATCGTGCACTAGGTTATATCGCAATACTGCTCCGCTTTTTTTCTTCCAGTTACCTAATGAGTTCATTCGAGCAGACCACTACTCCATGATTTTTAAGCGTCTGTTGTGTATAAGAGCAAGAACGCGTCTCTTCACTGAGTTCAACTAAAAAATTCTCAGGCCCAAACATCACGATCCGTTGGCGAAAAAACGAAAACATAGCCCTAATGTTCTGGAGTAGTACCGCCGTCGATTAAAACCAATTTTCAATCTTCATCCTTTTCATACCGTTCATACTGTATGCTACTTTGTTACTGTGCCTAGCTGCTGACCATCTGGCATATCCCTGGGTTGTAGATTGAGGAACGATCTCGAAATGTGGAGATTAATTGCAAGAAACGAGCAGTCGCTGATAGGCAGACCATCAGAGTTCGACACATTAAATAGTCAAAAAACAAATGACAGTGCCAAAGTGACAGTCACATTTCGAAGATAGAGTGATTTGCCTCTTTGAAGGAAAAAGTTTCCACTGTCACGGTGGCCTTACGTTTAGACGTTGGTTCGTCAAAGGCTATAATTGACAAGTTCGATAGAAATCTGGACGATGTTGTCGGACTCGTCTGTATGAAATTTCCTGCATCATTGTCAGTCTTAACAGCGCGTGGCTAAGCTTCATGCCTCATGACAACATGAATAAATGGGCCTTAGAATTCCGAGCTTCTCTGAACTCGTTCAGTGGCAGCAATTGGGTGTTCCACGAACAAAAGTCTGCAAAGAATTCCGGTCAAAAGTTCACCGTTTGGTAACTGGACCTGGACCATCGCCGTTTGCATTTACAACTGTAGAACACTGATGATGAGAGAAATGTTAAGCAAACTAATTGAGAAAAGGTCTAGGTTGTCCTGCAACATCATTAACCTCAGCGAGACACGAAGGCAGAGGAGATGAATGGCATCTCGAAAGATGGTAGCTTGATTGGCGAAGAAGAGGAAAGGGAGTGAATAACACGTGAGGAATCACATTTGCACTCCTCGAAAGCTGAACTTTCAAAATCGTCTCCTGCTAGGAGAGGTCGCAAAGGCTGGGTGTGATGTGCCTCCAAGTGAACAAGAAGTGAATCTTTAAAATAGCTCAAACCTATGCTCCCACAAACAGAGCTGAGAAGGTAGAAGAATTCTATCAAGAACTGGAACAAGCATTAGCCCAAAGTTCAACTGGGCTCGCGTCGCCTCAGTGCCAAAGTCTGAAGATGAAGGGTCTGTGACATGTTCGTCATTAAGAATGGCACCGGAAAGCGAAACAATGGAGAATATCAGCTAGTGACCACGGC